AGTTTAAGAACTGCTGTCCTGGAATATGTTAAGCAGATAGTTAAAGTCAATCAGGGGTTTGGGAAAAATAAACAAAACTATAACGTGATTAATTGAAAAAGTTTGTCCTGCACTAAAAATTGAAAATAATTGAGAAGAAAATCTTAAATAAGTGGGGAAAAAGAATCTCTCAAGGAGTCCCTAATGTGTGTCTTTTTTTACTGTAGAAGATATAAGTTTTACGAAGTACTTACTGGTTCACCTCGGAGACCTGGGAGCCCCGGATGGCCTTTGAGACCCTGCAATGGTAAAGGTGAAGACATGTTATGAACAGTAAATTCGTACAAGCAAAAGAACTAAACAAAGGTGCCAAGTTGGTTCCCCCCCCCAATTTGGTTTTCTCATAAATGAATGTTAATTCTTACTAATTTATTACTTACTAATCTTCAATTTGAGCGTTATTTGAATTCTTTGTTACTATCAACTGAAATGGTAGCATAGTATTGAAAAAAGAATACAGAACAGCATCTTTTATATAAAGCTGGTATCCAGCAATGGATCTGCTAAATCTTACTGATGCTTTTTAACAGTTGGTTTTAGTTTATTAATGCTGAAGCAAAATGCTGTCAGACAAAATCTATTTGTAATTATTGAAAAACTGGACCATATCCAGGCAGTTTCTCTAATCCAATCATTGTAATCACACTCCATGAATGAGCTAAGACAAATCAAAGAGGCCACTCACAGGTCCTATGACAAAAGGGGCTTTATTGAGCTAAAAAATCAGTAACAAAAAAATTTTCCATATACTATAACCAAAATCAAGTATTTAATCTCTGTTATTAATACCCAAAGATATAAAATAGATAATATCCTTTTTCTTCTAGAAAGATCTGTGAGCAAAATAAGGCTAAAAGAAGGGACAGGAAGAAAGAAACATTCTCATCGATATGCACAAACCTTAATTATAGATCACCAAGATAGATCAACCAAAGAAATTAAATATTTCATAAATCATGGCATTATTAAAGTTACTCATTTACCTACAGCATCTAATATACCCAATCTTTTAGCTCAAGTTTGCTCTGAGTTTACATTTTTTTAAAGATAGTTAAAGATCAGCCTAATTACAAAATATGAGATATATTGTTCTCAGTCGTCCAAATGTCACCTGAGATTCCACAAATAAAAATATCGTCAAAGCTAAGTCACTTTTTTTTGAGAGAGAAAGTTGGGGCAGAAGATGAAGAGAGAGAGAGAGAGAGAGAGAGAGAGAGAGAGAGAGAGAGAGAGAGAGAGAGAGAGAGAGAGAGAGAGAGAGAGAGAGAGAAAGAGATAGAGAATCCCAAGTAGGTTCCATGCTCAGCGCAGAGCCCAATACAGGACTTGATCCCACAACCCTGGGATCATGACCTGAGCTGAACTCAAGAGTCAGAGGATCAACTAACTGAGCCACCCAGGTGCTCCTCTTCACTTTTTATAATAGGACATAAGAAATGTCCTCAGCAGTAACAAGGTGGTGGTGGCTCCCTAAGATGAGACAGCAGCTCTAGGAAGGTGGGAGCTAAGCAGCTCCTGAGGAAGTGTCAGGAAGGTGAGTAACGAGAAGCCAAGGTAAGAGGCACATAGGTAGAGAAACCTCTGCCATAGGCTTATCTCTTTTACCTTTTTTAAAAAAAGTGTTTATTTATTTACTTATTTATTTTTATTTCTGTGAATGCTTGAGTCTAACTACATGCTTCCCTTTCTTTGGCTACCACTTGTTTTTCTGGCCAGAGATTCCTCCCTCCCCTAGCCCAAGATGAAAAAAGCATAACGTCTTTAATTTACATTTCCTGAAGCAGTTTACAACAGTGAAGTAGGCATGTTAAACATGGTATCTTCTGTATGTACAATTTCCTTTGAAGGGATTGTTTCTCATCCAGAGACTCTCATAAAGGGGCAGCAACAGTCATGATCTTTTCTTCATGAACTCACTCCTGCTCATCTCAGCCACAGGAAACAACACTTGATCTAAAGGAGGCCAATACAAAGTCTGGCCAGAAGGCGATGAAGTCACTCGGAATAAAGAGTTTTGCCTAACTAGGAACAAGCTGGGTCAGTCAAATTCTTTTTTTAATTAAATGAAACTGTTTTTTAAAAAGGAAAGAAAGAAAAATTCAGGTACTAAGCAGTAGGGGGCTGAAGCGGGAAAGACTCACAAAGGTTAAGGGGAATTGAGATGTCACAAGAAAACCAAAGTATAAACACAGAATTTAGAATAAGCAGAAACTATGTTAAGAAAGTTGTTCTCAGAGATAACACAAAAGGGCAGATGTGGGAAGAACAGAGAGTAGCAGTACTAGAAAAGTGCAGTAAAAGATCCACGGACTAAGGCAGCTACGCCACTCAGAGCTGCTTTGAATCAGTGCTTGTCTCCATAAGACCAAGTTACATTACAGCACCTATTTTTAGATTCCGTGGGTCTCTGCTTCCCTTAATACTACAGAGAGGACTGAAAGAATTTTCTCTTCCTTGAGATAGCCTAACTCTCCATTCTTTGCAACCAGAAGAGCCTGAGTTAAACAAAATGTTCTGGTTGTCTTTTCACTGCTAACAATAATAAAGAACAGACCAAGCAGGCTGAGTTCTAGGTCCAGTTTTGCCACTAACTACAGCATGAGCTTTGAAGTCTATATTTGTAAAAATGATGGCAGTGAGTAAAATTATTTAAAATTTCCTTTTAGAGCCTAAATGTCCATCAACTGATGAATGGATAAAGAA